GCTGAGCCATTAGTGCAACTCGCAACCGAACCGCTAGATGTCGCTAAAAAATACACACTGCACCTTTAACCCCTTAAGTGTCACCGGCCAAATCCATTACATTTTTAAAACAGTAATATCCTATACTACACCTAAACTAATCTTGACAAACTATATATCATTTGAAAGCTTAAAATCTCTAGTTTCCATATTTGGTGATTGATTTTCAAAATAAATTACAGAGGAGCTGTAATTTATCAATTTGCAACAAGAATATTTTCATACTTCTAAGGTGTGTTTAGACCTTTATTTTGAAATAGTGATGAACATGAAAAATCATGAAAGAAGGGTAGAAACCTCAGTTTGTTTTCATGCCAAGAGTTCAAAAGATAGCATCCATTCAATTATTTTAGAAAAAAAGGTCTGATTTTTTTTTAAAAATAAATAAAAAAATTATAGATTCACCATTTGTGATGTGGCAGGAAGCTATAATGCACATACTTGTTCTTTTTGTGTTTCTTAGAGGTTGAATTCATATCAAAATCTGCCAAACTTCTCATATTACTTCTGAATAAGATGTCTACTTCATAAATTGTAAGAAAATTGTTGAAATAATGGTTCATATCACTCAAAACACATATGGAAATTGAGGCGCCCTTATATGGGCAGTAATGGAGTCTGGTTGTCATCTAGTGAAAAAGTTTGGTACTGCGCCCAAACAAAATCTTACTGAAAGCTCATTTTTTGAGATATCAACCTAAAATTTGAAACACAACTTGTTCAGATTTTTGGCTTTTTTTCTTCTTTTTTTTTGCAGTTTTAGAGTCGCCCAGATTTTGAAAATATATATTTTATATAAAATATGAATAATTAATTTTTTTACATTGTACATTTTCATAAACTCAAACTTCTATAATTTTTTTTCTGTTTCACTTTCTTAATTTATTTCACTTCTACAAAAATCTGCCAAATGTCTTTTTTAAAACAAGACCAATCTTACGTCTATATTCCAAAGCATTCTTGAATTACAACCATTTAAGTTCGAAATGTGCATTTTCATGTATATTAAAAAAAGGGGGGGGGGGGGGGGGGGTGGGGGGGGGGTGACACTTAAAGGGTTAAAATAATTTCATTTCATGCATCACATTTAAACACGCAGCATAAAGCGAGACCGTCTCACCGGTTTGAAAAAACGGTTTGCTTATAGTATGCTTGTAACAGTATAGAGAGAACACAAAGTAACCCCAGTTGTGCATGGTGAATATCTGCGTGGTGGCGCAACTGGTGAACCGAGTGTGCTTGTAGTTTGCTTCTAGTCCGTAGTTGTTCCTACATTCAGTGTACATATATCTGTTTCCACTGTCTCACTGATGTTCTCCGGATACGTGAGTTACTGAGGGGTGTCTGTAAAATGTCAGAAAAAGGCAAATTCTTAAGCTGTGCCATTATTTATAAAGATTACTTTATTGTATTTGAAGCACACAGCAATGATGCTATTAGCACACTTCAAGCCTACTTGGAATGCCATTACAATGTGTTTTAAAAGCCCTAAAAGTTGGTTATCAGTATAATATGAATGTATGTTCAACACTCGTACAGTGCAATTGAATTGTAAGTGTAATGTCACAAAAATACATTTATAAATGATGCTGAGTGAATTCTGCATTTCAAATTTTAAATACAAGAGTATATTTAAAGTGTACATACGTGTACTTGGAAGAGTTCCACTTTAACACAAACAAGCATATTTAATACAACTTTCGTTGAACTTCAGCACTGCCTTTGGACAACTTAAATGCATTTAGTACAAAATTAGTTGTTCCAATTTATCAGACTTTAAGTACACCAATTTATAAATCTGTCAAATCCATTTCAGTTATGCTACCATTAACAGTAGGCAGCGCACTAGGTTTGGAACGGAGTCTATATCAAATGATTTCTTCCAGTAGAGGTTTAAGACCCAAGTAAAGCACTATAAATCGGCTTTGGATATTTCAGACTGTCTTATCAAAGCCTCTCAGTCAGTACCCTGTACTTGTTTACTGTCCCATTAACGGGTCATAAGTACATATGGGTTACAAACTGTAACCAATGCTCTCAGCTACGGCAGTGGAAAATCTCTCTGGTTGACCGTGCGACGTCAGTCATCAGTAGCTCTTCTCAGAGCTCACACCTAACATATCACCTGTCAACAGCTTATCTGAAATCCAGCCCACTCCGCTCTTCCCACTTATGGAGCTCAAACACTTGAGGGGTTATGCTTGTAACCATAACCATGGAAAACAACCTTGGATTGTAGACTCTTGTTTAAAAATGATTGATTTGAAGAATAAATGTAGATGATGTAAAAAGGTTAATGACAATTAATAGACTCTTTTAATATGACTTTTGAGTTGCCTATAGTGATTCTGTTGAACCAGTGTTACACTGTGTTCTCATACATTTAACATAAAACTTGTATTTCTGTCATCACCATCGCCCTCGATACTTTTGGTTCATCTTCAGAACACATCTTTCAATATTTTTGGTCAATTCATTCGTAATCAACATTTTCAAGCTTCAAAAAGTACATTTTAAAATGAATCGAGAAGTTAAACCAAGTCTTCTGAAGAAACAATCACTTTAAATGATGAACAGATTTAATTTAGGCTTTCATTCACACATAAACATTGTATGTGCGTAACTTGCGAAAGTCAATGACGTTTGTTTTTGTGGGTCATTTTTGTTCCAAAGATGTGAACAAAAGTCTTATGAGAATTTTCTTTAAGGGTGAACTATCCTATTAACTGCTGATTATATCAATTACCTTTAGTATATTGTGCCCCAGTACACAACCATGACCAATATAGTTTCATTTATCAAATTAGAACTCTTACTCCTAGACTTGAATTGCAGTTTATGTGGGGCTAAGAATTTTAATTTGTTTAATTATCGTTATTTTCCCCAGAATACTGGAACCAGATGATTTACAAGCATTCTTTTGTTGATGTGGGTGGGACGATGTACCAAAATACTGCCTTCTTTACAGAAGAATGACTCTCGACGTTGGCAGAAGCAGCCAAATCCCTATGTGGCATAATCTTCTTATGCAGACAAGTGCAGTGGTCTCTCATTGGCGTGAGAGGTTGGAGGGGGCAGCTGCCCCACTGCCCATGGAGTCTTAGTTAAATATGGAAACTTACTGCAGATACTGTGTCCTTGCCATGTCAGATATCAGTGGTGGTCCTCCAGGGTGTTTTCCAGCTTCTAAAGTGACATGAGGGTTTCTGCGCTTGTACTGAGACTTTGACCTTGAGACTTTTAGCATTGTAGCATCTAAATTTGTGAAAAGTATGGGGAAATCCTATTATTTTACTCACCCTCATGTCATCCCAAACCCGTATGACTTTCTTCTGTGGAACACAAAAGTAGATATTTTGAAGAATGTTTTGGTCCAATGAAAGTTAATCCCATTGGTTTGAACTCTTTCGACCAAAATTCATTTTTGGCTGAACTATCAGGTTATAGCTAGATACTTTGGACCAAAATGTTCTTCAAATGATCTACTTTTGTGTTCCACAGTAGAAAGAAAGTCATACAGGTTTGGAGCGACATGAGTAAAATCATTTTAATTTAAAGGCTGGGTACCTTGTCAAACTTGGTAAAAACCAAATGTAATGTAAACATTTGTAAATCTATGTAAATCTCTAGGTCACACAAGAGAGTTACACTGAAGCCTATTAAGAATTAAATTAAATCAATGTCAGATTTGTAGATGTTTGACATTTGACAGATGGTTATAAATAAAAACATATTTCTTTAGGGCGAGGACTGTAACCCATTCACAAATTGTCAACAGTTTTTTTAAAATGATTTTAAGGAGTAAAAAAAATCAGCTTTTCCCCTTGGAATTGAGTAAGAATGCAAGCATTCAGCTTGAAAAGTACTCGAGTAAACTCCTCAAAACAATTAAGTGTAGTAGTGAAGTACAATAACCAAAGATACCTGATTTTGGTCCCATATGACATGCCATCTAGCTAAAGATACATTTTTTCCAGTCTTTCAGATGATTTCTTCCGGTCAGAAGACCTAGCTATCACACTTATTTCCAAGATGAGCTAATTTTGTTATGTGTTAACTCGAAGGTTCACAGTCTCTCGGTGCTAAAGCATCTAAATGGACTCATTATTATGTAGCACCAGTGTCCTTCTCAAGTTAAACTTGAACTTTAAGGAGAGATGTGGTGGTGTGGGGGTAGAGCGGGGAAACCTTTTCTGACTAGGTGAACCATAAGCCAAGTTCACATGCTAAAAATAAAGCTGGATCAGGCAAGGCAGTATTAGCAGAGACTGCCACTCACATAGAGAACAAGCTCACTTTTGGAACGGATTGAGACTTTGTCGCAAGGACAGCATTAGTCTCGCCAGTCAAGCGTACTGTCCCTGGGCGAGCACAAGGAAAGAATCTCTTGCTTTGTGAGATTTTCAGCAAATCAGCGAGGACCTTTGCTCAACTTTTAGTACTGTCTCTGCTGATGACAGTGACAACTTTGGGTATTTCTGCAGCCAAACGTTGTGTCCAGAAGAGCTTTCACAGACCGATATTGATGCGGAGAGACTCCACCAATCTGGATCGCTTTGTCCGTCGCCAGACTCGAATTGCACTGCATCCCAAATCTCGAAATGTAACCTGGAAATGGCGCCTTAACTCCACTTTTGAGCAAAGACTATTGTTATTATTCTGCCATATGTGCTCTTGAGGCAAGGACTATACTCCATATTGCAAGCAAAATATTGCAAGTTCATCTTTGCAATATTGCTGGTCGTTTTGAGAATTGTACATTTAACTGTTTCACAGTATTTGATTTGGTCAAACCACAAGGAGGCCACAATGCGTGAGCTACTTCCTATCCCGGTAAAGGAGAGGAAGGAGAGGGAGCGAATAAACAGCATTCCTGCCCCAATTCCCACTCCAACATTCCCTATTACCTACTCTATCCAAACCTCTAAGAAGTTTCCCTTTTTCCACTTCAAAAAATGCAGATACGAGGCGGAGAATGCCTTCTTCTCCAACCTGAAGCTGGTGGACTTCAACATCATCGACACCTTGGGAGTTGGAGGATTCGGAAGAGTTGAGCTGGTAGGATGGTCCGCCTTATATATGTGTGTATTTTATGTTTGATGTTTTCATGTAAATAAAAAAGGTTTTAAAAAAGCATCAGCCTCTATAATAAAGCACTACAAGGTGACTGCAGCAAGAAAACAGTGAATGCATATGGTTTAGTTGCTTTATGGTACTCTGCTTATGGTAAGCAACACCCCAAAAACAAAAAATGATGTTAACTGATAATACAAATACATTTTACTAATCTACATCGCAGGAAATATGAGCAGCTCTCAAATGATCTACGGTGCTAAAGGACAGATCAGGCCTGGGAATGCTCTAGCTCTATTCAGGGTAACTTTCCACAACAGAGCTCATAGGGTAGACATCTGAATTTCTGCCACACAAAGTTCAAGAAGACTAGTTTGTTAGATAGATAGATAGATAGATAGATAGATAGATAGATAGATAGATAGATAGATAGATAGATAGATAGATAGATAGATAGATAGATAGATAGATAGATAGATAGATAGATAGATAGATGTTCCAATACAAATCATTAGTGTGTGACGTTTCCTGCATGACCATTTATGTTAGGGGGAAGAAAATGACGGAAACGTCGACATAGAGAAGAGGGAAGAAATCCGCATTGCGGATCAGACTCTGTTGTAAAGGAAAGCCCAGAGGTCCGGGAAGAGGATTCCCCTTTCCACGCGCCTATTTCTGGCAATGCGGCAACATATTAAAAACAAGTGGCCTTTCGCCAGGGAGTTATATATGCTTGTAGTGCTATCCGTTTGCTAGATAGCTACAGGATCGAATGAACATGCAAATGCCTTCATGAAGACGCAATGTGAAGAATTCCTTCTCTCAGTCAGTCTATTTCAAAGACCCTTTACACATTAATAGACCATGATTCAAGTGCTAAATTAACACTAGCACTTGTTTTTATGTCTTGTTTCCATAGGCAATTTGCTTATTAACACCTTTTCTGTGCTCATTTTTTCTTTGTGTGTGCCATTGGTGTCCACAGGTACAGCTCAAGAGTGAAGAGACCAAAACATTTGCAATGAAGATTCTGAAAAAGCGTCACATCGTGGATACGCGGCAACAGGAGCACATCCGCTCTGAGAAACAGATCATGCAGGAGGCTCATTCAGACTTCATTGTAAGGTAGGTGCTAAAACCTCCTGAGAGCATCATTGGAAGGCATATCCTAAAAATACCAAGGCAAAAATAAAAATTGATTGACAAAATTGTGTGGTTGTGTTCCCTCAGGTTGTACAGAACTTTCAAAGACAGCAAATATCTGTACATGTTGATGGAAGCCTGTCTTGGAGGAGAGCTTTGGACCATTCTTAGAGACAGGTAGCCAAATTGCTTTTTGTGATGGTGGCAGGTGCTAATCACTCTAAACAATAGAAACCCAGTAAAACATCAGTTTTTTTTCTCTATTCATAGAGGATCATTTGAAGACTCAACTACACGGTTTTATACAGCCTGTGTGGTCGAAGCATTTGCTTACCTGCATTCCAAGGGAATAATCTACCGAGATTTAAAGCCAGAAAATCTCATTCTGGATCATAGAGGATATGCTAAGCTTGTGAGTATACATTTCAAGATCATTTTTAATGAGATGACACATTGTGAGGCTGGTGAATTTTAAAGACTGGCCTTAGTGTCAAGTGGTATCAGGGGGAGGGACTTCTCTTTCTAGTGAGCATCTGATTGGACAACAAATTGTATACGCCTCTGAGTGCAAGATGAGTCATCAATAATTTTGGTCCATTTACCCAAAATCAGAAATACTTTTAAATGCTTATATCTTTTTCTTATCAACTTTTTAGTACACTAGGAAATTCAAAGCTACACTAAAAAATGGTGGGTTGTTTTCAACCCATGTTTGGGTCAAATATGGACAAATCCAACCGTTGTGTTTAAAACAGTTGAGTTTGTTTATATTTGACCCAAACATGAGTTGAAACAACCCAGCCTTTTTTTTTTATAGTTTAACAGACATGTAGCCTGGGAAAACCCAGACAACTTCCGGCAAATTTAGATTTGCTCTGAAAGTTAGTCTGGCAAAGAGCTCATTCAAGCCCATTTCCAATCCGTCGAAATCGCGGCACCAATCAGAAACGTTGGGGCGGGCTTTACACGATGACGACAGCGCTGTGATTTTGAAGCAGATTTTGTAGCCTACATTACAAAGATGGATGCCGCCGTCGAACATCACTCGTTCGAATCAGCTATCGCGTCTGTTTTAAGCGAATTGAACATTTCCCTTTTGTCAAAAATCGAGCAAAGAACAACACTCGGAGATGTTTCTGCATCTGCATACGTCATCTCCTTCATCGCTCTGATTGGTTCTGGGTCTATCCGCGACGTCCGTTGGTGACGCCCCTCTGGAAATGATTTGTCTATGACACTTTGCCAGACCATAACTCAGTTACAACTGAGAATGCTCTGGTTTTAACCAGGCTAACAGACATGTACTAAAAGCTGTCATTTTTATGTCCATTCGTCTCTTGTAGGTGGACTTTGGCTTTGCTAAAAAGATTGGATTTGGGAAAAAAACATGGACTTTCTGTGGAACGCCGGAGTATGTAGCCCCAGAGATCATTCTTAATAAAGGCCATGACATCTCAGCAGACTACTGGTCATTGGGAATTCTTATGTATGAACTCTTGACTGGAAGGTAAATCATGTTTCCTATTACTGTGTTTGAAAACTGGTTTCAATCAAGTTAAGCTTTGTGTGTTTAAGTTTACTCATTCTAATTTGGTCAAATCCGATGTGTATTTGTTGTTCAGCCCACCATTCTCAGGACCAGATCCAATGAAGACATATAATATAATTTTAAGAGGAATCGACATGATAGAATTTCCAAAGAAGATCACCAAAAATGCAGGCAATCTAATTAAAAAACTATGCAGGTGGGTACATTTGAAAACCCCTTAGGTTCAATCTGTGCTGATTTATTGACAGTTATTGACACATTAATACTCTATTTCAGTTGAGTTTTAAATTAACTTGAAATGTTCTGCTGCTCCAAAGCTGTTAACCTCTATCACACATTTATACCTCACGGTTAAAACAAATCCTTAGTTTGGAATAGTGTATCTGGGTTTGGCAAAGGCAATTTTAGACAAAATCAGGTCCATAAATTAATCACTTTTTTCCCTCCAAATATTGTTTCCCCCAGGGACAATCCGTCTGAGAGGCTAGGAAACTTGAAAAATGGAGTCAAAGATATCCAAAAACACAAGTGAGTGGCCATTTGAAAATTGTGGTTTTCAGGTCTAGAAAAGTACTGACACATTTATAAAATCATTAGTCAATGAATTAATATGTATTGTCAATATACTGTATACAAACTATATATTTTGTCTTATGCTGTTCATGGGGTCAACATTTTTTGACATTTAAATCTAAATCTATTCTATTAAATTGAAATGTTTACATTTATAAGAATGATATGTGTCATTCAACTGGAACACCACACTACGCAGGATCTTTATTCTATCTGTTCCATCATAGATGGTTTGAAGGCTTTAACTGGGAAGGCCTGCGCAAAGGAACTCTCGTACCTCCAATTATTCCTGATGTGAGTATTCCACATCCACATCTCCAGAGGGTTGAGCAAAATCCACATAAAAAGCTCCTTTTTAATTCATAAGTGTACATTTGAATTTAAATGATAGGAAGATCGAATTAACAGAACTGCAATTTAAATAAATTCAACAGTCACCAAAACCTTCGTGACAAAACATTTACGTCGTACATTTTGTAAATATATAGTAATATAGTAAATACTGTGAGAAGAATTAACACCATTAAAACAGATTTTAATTTCGCCATGAAATACAGCTAAAAAACCTCCAGATTTGCTTTACGTGTTTGTAGGGCTGCACAATTTGGCCAAAAATATACTGTAATAATGATACTAAAAATAATTATTATTATTATTGAATTAATACAAATTAAGAATAATAATACTATTATAATATTTTACTGTGAAAAATCTTTAAGTATAAATAATATATAATATAATAATATTTTTATTGTATAGTGCAACTGTAAAATTACTACAAATTGATTGATTAATTGATTTATAAATGAAATACTTTTAATATTTCTTTTTGATATTTCAGACACTGAATAATGCATAAACAATGCAGAATCTTATGTGTTTGACATTCACATTACTGCTCAACATTTGTGCGTCTAACATCCCATTTCCTCCACTCACGTTCCTGTTAGGTTGCAAGCCCGACTGACACCAGTAACTTTGATAGCTTTCCTGAGGACAACGAGGACCCTCCCCCAGATGACAATTCCGGCTGGGACACTGATTTCTAAAACTGAAACTCGTAACATGCCCCGCCCTGGAGCGTCCCGTGCGATTCGTCAGCCTGAGGGTTGGATCGAAGAGGAGATTGGAAGACGCCTAGCCCAGCTCTGTGACACCAAGTTGCCTTCGCCCATGCTTCTGTCCTGCGGTGCCACTGGGGGCGTCCCAGCTCCCCGCCGCAACCCATGACTCTAATCATAAAGACTGGAGTTCATATTTGGCCTCAGATATGGACTCAGACTGGCACCAATTTTTCATAAATGAGCCCTTCATATATATATATATTTTTTTTTTCTGTGCTGTTTTATGTTTGACCGATTGCACACACAGCATTTGCAGTTTTGTGTCTGGGGTCTTCAAAATAGAATCATAAGTAGAGACAGGACTATGATCTGGGCTGAGTATTGATAATGTTTCTAAGATGCATCTCAATCAGGATTTTAGTTTGCATTTACTTTTAATCGTATGACATAGTTGTGTGTAAGATACATTTGGAACAGAAGCACACCAATGTCACATACTTAAAAAAAGTTCTGTATAGTGGATACAGATTGATTTTTAGATATGATTAAATTCATTGCCATGTTGTCCTTTTTTATGTATACTCCTTTAAAAGCGATAATCCATCCAAAAATAAAACTTCTTTACTTTCTTCTGTGGAACACAGAAGCTGATAATTTGAAGAATGTTGGCAACAACGGTCCAATGGTTTCGGTTTCCATTGACTTTCATTATATGGACAAAAAATACAATGGAAGTCAATGGGAACGGACAATTTTTGGGTGAACTATCTATTAAATCTTTAATCCGAATCTTCTAATAAAAGGTTTCTAGACTGGATATTTTGTATTTGTAGAATGGGAAACTTTTACTTTAAAATACTGTTTCATCATTAATGAATAACTACACAGAAACAAGTGAGTAACACAATATTAACTAGTAACTGTTATTAACTAACAGGAAACTCTGATTAACGAATTAGTAAGTATAGCGCTCAGTTGAATGTGGTTCACTATAGCTAATCAATAACTACAATTTTTTTCATACGTCACAGAGGAATGAACTACATACAGGTTCATAATTAATGTAAATAATGTATAATTAATTCTAAAGTGAAGATCATGGTAACCCACTAGTAATGAATCAAAAGACTTTAGTCAATTATTACAGAGTTATCCTGCTTTTCACTTCAGAATACTGTTACAAATAATTAATAATTCATACTGAAGGATTTGGTAATACTGGAGTCATTACTAGTGGGTTACCATGATCCTCACTTTAGAATGAATTATGCATTATTCACATATGAACCTGTGTAGGTAGTTCTTAGTAATCCTCTGGGAGGTATGAAAAAATAGTAGTAATTGATATAAATATACAGTGGTAATAGTGTATACTAAACTACCTCATTCAACCGAACGCTATTAATTAATTTGTTAATCACAAGTTTTTGTTGGTTAGTTACTAGAACGTTAATATTGTGTTATTTATTTGTTCCTGTGTATTAATTAATTCTATTTTTTTAGACAACGGGAATCTACTGAAATATTGAATCGGACTCAATGCAGTTTGTGCACCACTAGAGGGCAGGATTTTTACTCAAATACACACTGTACTTCTCTAGTGGAAGGGCTGTCAAGTCACAGTTTCCCCAGATAAAATGTGGGCAAGATCGGGATTGTTTATGAAGGTAAATAATCGGCTCTAAAATTGATACCAGACGTACTTTTCTTCCATCATTTTCACCAATCATATTCATAACTCTCCTTGACTCATTTAAAGAATGACTGCCTGTGGTCTATACTAGCTTGAACACAAAGTGCTGTGCTGGAAAACCAATTATGTAATCTTATTTATTGTAGGACCAGGGGTAAATATTTATGTATAAATAAATATACAGTGGTAATATTTTTGTGATATTTGTAGAGATTTATTGTCAGAGTAAAACCATTCCTTTTGCATTTTTTTCTTTACCGTAAGCTATTTTAGTTGTCTTCAATTATCTTTACTTTTCAAAATGGATATTATGTGCTCACCATATATCTTTTGGCATTATTGAAAGTGCCTTAACTCGTGGCATTCAGAATTCACCCTGCTTGTTTTGATGCTGCACGGCTAGGTCAGACACCTCAAATGTTCTTTTTAATCAGTTGTGGCTCTTTTTTTTTTAAAGGTACCAAAATTTATATGCCTTTTTCTTACAATAAAAGCATCTTTCAAAGTAATATGTCTGCAAATAGCTGCTGTTTTCATTGCATGTTGTGTTCAGAAGTTCAGGATGTCCTACAAACAAGATTTAGCTTGAGGTGTCAGTATTATGAAGGGTCTGACTCATATCAGCTGGTGATAATGCTCTGTAAACATCTGCCCTCCCCTCTTCTCAACAGATAACACACAAGCATGGTAATGTTTCATTGCCAGCACTGTGGCCCATAGACATCAAAAGATGTAAACCCAGGGGGTAGAAAATACATCTTTGACCTCCAGCAGATAAAGACATCAGTCAATGGCATATCTGGGCCATTTCTACAGTTTGCTGGATTTTGGACAGAGCAGGTTTTTTGAAAAACATCTTTAAAATGTATGTTTGTAGTCTTTTCAGAGAGAGAACATGTCTGTCTATCATAAAAACACACTGGTCAAGCTCATATTATAACCTATAATAATAAATCTGACCAACTATTACAAAAATCACATTCTATAACATTTTTCAACCATGTTACATGCCATATTTGCAATGCAATGTGCAAAAGGCGGACCGTAACAGGATAGACATTATTTTAAGCTGATAAAATCCATTACTAGCTAAAAGACCAACCTAGCAGATTCAGGAAGAATTTGAATATATATAATCCTTAAAAAAATCATATCCAGTTCAAATTGACACAACAGGGTGGACGTTGTTTTACACTAGATAAGTCACTTAAAAATGAGGGGGGAAAGAAAAAAGTTTATGACTAATTTCGCTCAAAGGAAATGATGTCACTTCTGGCAAGTCATGTGATTTAGGCCATACGCTATAAGATTTTAAAGGGCAAATGGCATGTAACAGAGTGGACTGAAGTTTGAGGGACATGAGCTCATTTAATGGTTTTACACAAAATATGTATCACAATAAATTGTATATTATGTAAAAGAGAATAAGTTCATGTATATACTAATACGTAAACCTGCTGATTTAGAAAAAAACAAAAAAACATGTAGCCTTTATTTCAAAGTGAAGCTGAGAAAACATGATTGCTGACATGGGTAATTGCCTGTCAAGTGCTTCAAAAAGTGTATTATTTTTATTATTATTATTATTGGGTAGGCTACTAATACATTTATGTTAATTGGGCTACATATGCATAGAAAACCATGTGGCATTAAAGTTGATTAACATTTTATGTAAAATATGCCGTATTGTTTCATGGAATGACCCTTCTAGAAATGACCCATCTACTAATTGATGATTTTGACCTATATATAAGCTTTTAATATTTATATATCGGTTGCACAATATAGCTATAAATAGCATGATCTCACAAAAGTCCTGAAAGCATTAAATGAATATAACATTGGGTTATGATCATTTAGAGAATAACTGGGAGAGATTTTTCTCAGTGTGAAGACATATTTGACTATTTATTTAAACATACTGTAGTATTTCTACAATTTTTGGGCCATTTACTTACAGTAAACTCTTCACCCAGCTTCAAACATGAACTCCAACAAAGCGTCAACAAAGAAACAAGTTTGTTTTGGAGAGTCATCAGAGGACATGCATCAACCCCCCGCTTAGACTGTCACACTAAAAGGAGGACAGGAAAGGATAGCAACCTACAAAAGTAAACGACGGGTTGTACCTTCGCATTCCATCTGCAGAATGAAGAACACACCATTACCCCAAGAGGGAAAGTCGGACTCCCGCGCGAGCTTTTGAAAATTTGAAATCACACAATGAAACAAAGTGATCTAATTAACACTTTCAAGGACATAGCAACTGCGATTTTTATAGGTGACGGGAGTAGGCTATATATTGTGTTACTCTAATAGATAAAATAGCGATGAATAGAACGATTCGTTGGAGTCGGATCTTTTTCCATTCAATTCGTGTAAACCAGTAAAGTCTGTTTTGAACATGTCCGATTCGTAGGCAATCATCCGATATTGTTAGAGTGAACAGATGGGTGATGATAACAGCAGAAATTATACAAATAAAACACAGGTGAAAGCATGCCCGTTTTGTTAATGCGCATTTATTAAAACATAGAGTTGTAAATGCAGGCCTAGGCTATACTTGATTGGAAATGATAGGCTATAAATATACAGCACATTATGGTTCTTAACGTTTTCATAACTTGAATCATCGATGCACCAAAATGAACTGGGGCACAGTAAAAAAAAAAACGTATTAGCCTAATAAAACGAAAGCTAATCAAAAAACTTAATGAACAACATGCAAAACAGCATTCGAACATGTTAGAGCATGCATGCCACGTCAAGTGATGAAGTAGCTATGTCACTTCGTAAAAGATTTAATTCGGTTATTTTGAATAGGTCTTTTCAAAGAACCGGTTCAAAACAGAATTACTATTCAAAGCCATTGCAATGAATTGAAAAAGGCACGCATTTTATATTGATGTGCCAAGTTAGGTTGCTATAGTTAGCAACCTGCAGTTAGGCTATAACCATAGCTATTGGCAGATTTATTTTCATTCATTCAATCATTCATTTATTCTGTATTGAACTGATGTCATTTTTCATATTGCTTTTACCGCGTCTTAGTCTATAAATGCAAGGATACGATTACGATTTATGCTATATATGTATATATATATATATATATATTTTTTTTTTTTTTTGCTGTAGCCTATAATAATAGCTACTCAGGGTGACTCGGGAGCCCTGACCTGATTGAGATGTCATCAGGAATTTTAAAACAGGATTACCTGGCATCCCACTAAATGAATTTGCTAAGTACTTTGCCCACAAAAAGCCGCTAAAAGCCGAGCAAATGGACTGTTTGCGAAAATAGCATCGCTGTGGAAGTCTGATTAAGACACGGGCTTCAGTCCTGTTTGATCTGAGCTCATCAAAGGGTCCTTTACACAGGCTTCATTTTACACCACTGTAGGCTTTGGATGTACAATTAAAACAAAGCCAATAGACAAAGGGATGGGGATGAACCCTGCCAATTCACGTTTAATGAAGTGTATTGAGCGTTTGTCCTGTGGTCGTCTATTAGAAGTGACCCGGCCCTGTCAACAACATCAAAGACATTGATTTGGGAGTTATCCCGGAGAATTGGGCAGACAGACACTTTGAACATGTTAAATCGTTTGCGCAGTTTATGCCCACCAAAACGCCATTTTTTTGTTACAATGCTATATTATTATTGGTGGTTATCATATAGTAGCAATCTATCCATGCTGCAACAGATTTAATTTTAGACAGCGAGATATCTGAACTGTTTCAAATCTATAGGAGTACCTCACCTCAATATAGCCTACTCAATTTTAATAAAGATGCACATAGCTCAGTTCATTTGGATGATATTTAATATTTTAAAAAAGCGAAACTAATCAGGTAATTGTTTTATTCTGTTCTAAAATGTAAAGCTCAAATCTTTATAATATAGATCAATCGATGAACCACGTCACCTAAGAGCGTCGCATTCTTATCGCAGATTGCTAATCACGCACTATTTGTTTAAAAGCACAGACTGAACGATAATTAATTCGGTAAACTTCTCACTTCTTCTTATTTGCATATTCACTTTGATCTCGTGCACTTGTTTAATCAAACGCATTTCAAAGAGCACTCCATCGCGGTTATGACTCAAGATCTGCTGAATCTGTCAACTGCATTTCTAATATGGAATATACAAACTCACTGTGAAAAACTATGGGAAAATAAACTCGGAATATTCAGGCGATAGATGTCCAGTGTCAAGTAGGCTATCCTGCTTTTTGAATAATGAAATAATCAGACTGCATGTAATATTGTAATAAAATATACAAATTATATATATAGGACTAGCTAGTATATCTTTTTTTTTTTATTAGGCTATTATTATAATAAATAAATAAATAAATCCAGTTCTAAAATTCCAATTATGTGGTAAATTTAGGCCTATTCATCCAAGCCGATCATCAGTCTAGCTTTATGTAAAACATTTTTTTTCTCGGTTTTCTTTATTAGCAGTTACATTCAAAGTGTTTGAACCAATTGTGCAGACTTTTCGTCACTTTGATTTGAAATAAAAGCAGGTAAAGTTTTGTAAATGGGTAAATGTGCATATACAGTATTGCTTGATATGGCCATATAATACAATATAACAATCTGTCAAGTCATTTTTGACTTAACTTCATATTTCTCTCAGCAAATGACTGACTTCCTCATTAATGTGAATTGAACAAGCAGTATTACTGAAGTGGCTGTTTGATGGCATCTCGTGAAGACGTGCATACAAACACACTGATAGACAGACAGCTCATGACACAACGCTTTGAAATTTCATCCAGCTCTTTGTTACTCTCAGCGAGGGGCGGGAGCGCAAACAACCCCGCGCGCGTATAAATGAAGCGTCTCGCGCTCATGAGGAACCACAGAAGAGCTCTGCTCACCTCGGGAATACATCCTCCATCCAAGGAATACCAGACCTGACGATGCTGCACACTGCCATGTTCTCAACCGCTTGCCTCATTCTTGTGGGCTTCATCAAAGTGGCTTCCGCTGGTTCTGTGGTGCTCAACTCGAACGCTATTAAGGTCGGTTCAGGTGTGGCGAGTCCCAGTCACCCGGTCAGCCCGAGTCCGGATGAGTCACCTGCGGACAGCGGCAGTCTGAACTTCGCCGTCGATACACCGCAGGTAAGAATATAAACAAGCACATGCTATGTTCAGACAGCTGTTTTTATCTCGTGGTCGTTAGACTAATAGTGTATTTGTTAACTCCAGCAGCCTTTAATCTGCGAGAGTGACGAGGAATGCGGTGGAGACGAGTTCTGCTTCCTGTCTCGCGGTGTTTGTCTCCAGTGTAAGAAGCGCAGGAAGCGCTGCATCCGGGATGCGATGTGCTGCCCTGGCAACCACTGCAGCAATGGTAAGATCAAACTTGTGAAAAAAAAAAAAACACTTTACCGTTAGTCTTAACAATTAACAAGCAATTTTGGCTAACTATGAACCTCTTCCTATTAGGAGTTTGTCTTCCAAATGATCCTGACATGATTCAGCAGATTGGAATGGAAGAGTTTGTGTCCATCTCCAATGAGAACTCTACTTTTGTGGTGCCACCAAAAGTTCCAAGTCAAGGTTCACCACAAAACCAAATGCAAAAAGGTAAATAATGCTTTAAATAACGAATAGACTTTATTAACCAGCATGTTATGTTGACTTGGCTATGTTTGGGTGTCTGATGTGTAGAATAGCTTCAGGTCATTTTCAGATAATGTTCCTTTGAAATAATTGCAACCCAGTAGGCAGATATTTGAACCCTCTGGTGTATCACTAAGTAGGCATGAACTTTTCAGGAATGTGAGCGGTATTAACTAGGGTTGTACAGTTTCCAGAATTTTTACTTTAACTTTAACTTTCCACGTTTTTTTGGGGAAATTCTTAGAAACTTTCTTTTAGAACCCTAATTAGATGTGACATGTAGATTAGACATGTAGAACTTTTGGAGCATGTTGAAATGTGTTTATAATCCGGTTTTAAGACTAAGACATGCTTATAAATTAAGAGTTTAACACGTTAAGTTAATGATCATCAACGTCATGCTCATCAACCTTAATGTGAAATTTTTTGATGCCCCAAAAAGAACATATCAGTTGTGCATGATATTCATGGATGTTATTTTGTTAAAGGACTGGAGGGAGAAACCTGTCTGAGATCATCAGATTGTGCTGAGGGACTCTGCTGCGCTCGTCACTTTTGGTCCAAAATCTGCAAGCCCGTCGTAAGAGAAGGCCAGGTCTGCACCAAGCACAAGAGGAAAGGCACCCATGGCTTAGAAATATTCCAGCGTTGCGATTGTGGGGATGGTCTGTCCTGCAAAACGCAAAGAGGAGACGGCGGCAAGTCATCACGGAGTCTGCACACTTGCCAGAGACACTGAATGAACATTTAAGGAATTTTCTTTCATGAGCTCAAAAACAGACTTGAGCGACGAGCGGTTGAGGGAAACAGGACTTGGAATGGGATACTCTGTTTTTCCTCCATTTTCTTGTGTCAACATTGCAGAGTAGATATAATTGTTTCTCAACGGAACTTAAATATTGCAGTAAATTACTGTATTATACTGTAAATAATATAAGGCAGTTGGCACTTAATTCAGATATTTTTGTCAAGCCTGTTTTGAAAGAAGGTGCTTCGGTGTTTTACTAGTCTATCTTATTTGTGTATATCTGGTTTTCACAGTCATATAGAGCTGATTTAAATGTCTATTTTATTCTAAATAAAGATTGTAAAGATGATATTCAGTTTACTGTGTTTAAGTGCTTGCATTAAGAGGGTTAAGAGAGAGTTTCTCGAGCTGCATGTTAAGAATACACAGAATGTTCACAGGTGTGGTCAGAGCTGAGGAGGTTTTATTCCCCTCTATAACTTTAATTAAGGTATTTAATAAGGTGTGTCTATATTTAATAAGCCATAAGAAACCTTTCCACCACAAAAAAAAAAAAAAAAAAAAGTCGTATTTAATTGCATCAGGGAGGCTATTTTTAGTTATTTTACAAAGTCATTTTGTGTTACATGTGTTGAAACAAAGTTACCAAAGAGAACAAGATCAAAATGATCCGCAAATGATCTATTATTTAAATAAAACACTTTTTTAAGCATATTTTATAAACAGAGCGATGTTACAAACAATAAGGAAAACAAAACCGCAGTAACGTAAACGAACCCATCTTGAAACGGAGATTAAAAGCCACCCATCTCTGATTGATCCGATGCTTTCAAAAGCATTTATATAGACAGGTCACACATTACAAACAAGCATCTGTTTGAGGTCTGCTTGTGAATTCTGTCTGTCTCTCTCTCTCTCTCTTTGAAGGTGAGAGGCTTTAATATGGTCTAGCACGTGGAGACTGACTATAGTCACCTTCTCTTTAAAGTTCAAGGATGCTCACTGATAGTGGAGGCGTTTAATGGCTCTGTCTGCTCATAGCGAGAGCATGGGATGGGATGCAGTTTTATTACATTTCAGAGAATCATTAAATATTTCAGACTTAAAGGAATTGATTGGTTTTATACACATTTCAATAATTATTAACCTCCTTTATGTTTTTATATTGGTCGTTTTAAAGTCCCCCTGTAGTCAATATCCCTATTGGTCACAAAAATGACAAATTTAAAAAAAAAAAATTGAACAAAATTTATTCATGCCTTAAAATAGCTGACTAGCTTGTTGATGATCACACGTTGATTGGTTACAAGGTAGTTTGTGACGTCAGAAACACCAGCGATTTCAAACCGTGTCTTTGGTTCACTGCAGTTTTAATGAGAAAATACTCAGCAAAGGTGTTGACTTGTGAATTTGGTTTGTCTAAAAACACCACATAGACATATAAACAACATTAAAAGCTTGATTTTCACCACAGGGGGACTTTACCAGAATAGCATATTCAAACGGAATACAATGCTGCAAAAAGAGCAAATACGCTTCTTCTCAAAACACGCCCTCATTCAGAAAGTTGGTTTTGCGGGTTCTGCTTCCTTTTGCATTTCTCCCAGCTGTAATTGGAAACTTTAAGTCTTTTACCTGGAGCTGTCAAGAGAGACAAAGCAGTGGGGTAAGCATTTCAAAGCACAGGATATACAGTTTGCAATTGTCCCTTTCCCATCCATGTGCCTTTGCTGGCATTGGAGAGACTTTCTCCCATGCTTTTGTCAATACCGTCAACAGCTTAAAGACCACAAACATCTGTGGATGGAATCCCAAGCTGCACAATGGTGCAAAAGAAACCCAAACCTCCACAGTCTGCATACAGTAAAGCAGTTAAGTCAGGTCAAGGCCATTTGATATGCTTCACTAAGAGGAATCAAGAGTCCATAAAGGATGTTTCTAGTGTTCAAGCTGAAATAATCTGCAAACACGAGTGTGAAAAGGTGGATTTCCTTCTTTTTTTCAAAGTAGGCACAATAAAGCAGCAATACTGGGGCTTCTGAGCATAGCAGTGTGAATGTTTGCGAACTGCCCCTAAAGCCTGGTTCACTTTGAAGTTGAGATCAGTCAACACTTCACGGCACATACTATTTTTCAACAAATAGTTAAGTAACTGGGACTCACACGCAGAGTTACTTAAAAAGAACCCAAACACATTAACGTGAATTGAAATTGACCCTCGAAAGTATATGTGCCTGTTAGCCAAGTTAGTCTGACTGTTTCAATGGCATTTGGCAAGATGAATGGGACATGGTTGCATAGCATAATATTTTATGATGCGTTTTTTTCTGATCTATCTCTTTGTTTGATTGACTATTTCAATTCATTTAAGTTGAGAAACTGTGAAGAAATTAAACTAGCAAACAAAAAATAAAGGTGACCAGATATACGCATTAAAATAATCAAAAGAGGTTACGGTTTCATTGAGGCTGTGTTTTAAGGCTCAGATCTCTTAAAGGATTAGTTCACTTTTAAAAAAACTTTTGCTGATAAATTACTCACCCCCATGCCATCCAAGATGTCCATGTCTTTCTTTCTTCAGTCAAAAAGAAATTAAGGTTTTTGATGAAAACATTCCAGGATTTTTCTCCATATAATGCACTTTACTGGGCACCAAACGGTCCAAGGTCCAAAAGACAGTTTCAGTGCAAACTGCAAACTGTTCAAATGGCTTTAAACGATTCCAGACGATGAATAAGGGTCTTATCAAGCGAAACGATCGCTCATTTAAAAAAAAAAAAAAAAAGTTTAAGTTTTATAAGCTCACATGCTCGCCTTGCTCTGTTCTGTGTGACTCTCCTGTTCGAACTCGTTCATCAAAATGAACAAATCTTTTTCCGAGTCAATTCGTTCATTTCGGTCGTTAAATGAATCAAATGACTCGAAAAAAGATTTGTTCATTTTGATGAACGAGTTCGAACAGGAGAGTCACGAACGTGCATCACAGAACAGAGCAAGGCAAGCATTTGACATTAATAAACTTAAACTTTGTTATTTATTTTTGAAATGAGCGATCGTTTTGCTTGATAAGACCCTTATTCATCGTCTGGAATCGTTTAAAGCCCTTTGAACAGTTTGCAGTTTGCCCTGAAACTGTCTTTTGGACCTTGAACCGTTTGGTGCCCAGCAAAGTGCATTATATGGAGAAAAATCCTGGAATGTTTTCATCAAAAACCTTAATTTATTTTCGACTGAAGAAAGAAAGACATGGACATCTTGGATGACATGGGGGTGAGTAAATTATCAGCAAAAGTTTTTTTTAAAGTGAACTAATCCTTTAATGTTAATAAGCCTTGAGCAGGTGGAAGTGAGATGAGAGGATACAATTAAGGAAACATTTTGAACATTTTGTGTGGTAAAATATGTTTTTCACAGCTCTATATTATAATGGCAGATACGCTGCATAAATGAATGACATTTGCGTGGTTGTCTTTAATTTAAAGGTTGTGTGTAATTACTAGAATGATCTTACCCTACTAGTCACTGTTAGATGTTTTCATCAAAGGGGTGAACATACTGATGTGGTGATTAAAACAGCAGGTCAATGAATATTATGGAAATAATTAAGTAGCATTACTTTTTCAATTTGTGGAAGGATGATTTGCACTCTGAGCGATTTTACTGGATTTTTATTCAATTGACTCACACAGTTAGCATTTGAGGAATTATATACCCAAGTCTAAGCAATGTGCATAAATACAGAGATGTCTCGTCTGTGACACACAGAGTAGAGGTTTGTGGGGCAGTGTTGGCTGTAGAATGGCTTGGAATGACCCTGTGCTGTTTTACTAGCTGACTGACTGCCATGCTTGCAAATTACAGACAGCAAGATCCGACTGTAATGATGGCAGGCGTCACAGATATGAGCTCTTTAAGATGCATGGTTTTCAGCAGCAGACAGCAGCCTGACAGAGTCCAAACACAGAGTTAGAGAACGCAACGCCACCGTCTCCAAGGCTCTGTTTAGCAAGTATCAAGTCAAAAGGGATAGAAACAATTAACAATGTCAACAACTATTGGTGAATTTTATGATGTGGCATTAACAATTATTCTGAATGGTTGCTCTTCATAACTAAAGTACGAGAGGTATCTCAAGATGACAAACATAACCACTTAAAATGGCTTACTTTTCAACACGTTTGCTGTGTATAATGGAGTTAAAGGAATAGTTCACTTCAAAATGAAAATTCTGTCATGATTAACTCACCCTCAAGTTGTTTCAAACCTTTTTCATCCAGTTTCATTCTTCTGCTGAACACAAAAGAAGATATTTTAAAGAATGTTGGTAACCAAACTGTTAAATAAATGTTAAATATTTGTTTTTCCTATTATGGAAGTCAATGGGGTCCATCAACTGTCTGGTTCCCGACATTCTTCAAAATATATTTCTTTGTGTTCAGCAGAAGAAAGAAATTCATACAGGTTTGAAACAAATTGAGGGTGAGTAAATGATTGTTTTAAATGTTTCTCCTAAAATGACTATTGCTGACATACAGTAAGAGTATAGAGTTATAGAATGACTAATGGTATTTCTTAGTTAACGTGGATTTAGAAGAATCTGATGAGAAATATTGGAATTCATATTGAGATCTCTGCCTAATCAAATCAGACCAGTTGTTGAGATCTCTAGATGAGATGTTTTTGAAGCGTTTTTTAATAAACCACAGCCACATATGCAAAAGTGATGCTTTGGTTTGGATGCTTGGCATAAAATTAATGTAACACTTGGTTTGGTGATATGTTGTTGGTTTTCTATGAGTAATTTTGACACATTATCTGACTGTTTATATCATCATTAAACTAAAAGGGCATGTTGTGTCATGGAACATCTGAGAGGGTTCTGAACGCTCGCTCTTGTTCCACGCAGCTTTACAATGTGATTTATGGACATCTTGGTCACTAAGGCCTGTCGGAATAATTACATGATAAATATTTGGCACATTTTGATGTCTCATGGAAAAGTGATTTTCATTCGTGTTGACAATTGACTGGCACAGTGTTATTCCTTCAAACACTGCTGGAGAATACGATGTGAG